GATCGCCCCCCGCCCCCGCGGCATCCGCTGATCGCGGCGCTTCCCCCGCTTTGGCCCCAAAGCGGCGCCTTTAAGGCCGAGTTTAAGCGCAGGGCCCGCGAGTTCAGCTCGGCCCGGCCCGGGGGTCCCGCAAGGCGTGGCCGCGGAGGGTTGCAGAGGGTCTCAGGAGGACTCAGGGCGGTCCCAGCAGGGCTCCCAAAGGACATTCCGGTCAGTTCCCAGGAATTCCCCCGTCCCCTCCCCTCCCCCGCGCTGCCTCGGGCACTGTCGCGTCTCCCAACCTGCGGCGGCGGGATCTGCCCGGTGACCGGTGACGTCAGGGCCCAGTCGGGTTGCCATTGGTGCAGAAGAAGTAGCGGCGCCGGACGCTGCTGTGTGGGCGGGGCCAGCGGAGCAGCGCGATGGCTCCAGCGCTGGGGCTGGGGGCGCTCCTGGCGCTCCTGGGGGTCTCGGGGGGGCAGCCCGAGGGTAAGTGGGACCCCCGGAACGGACACCTACTCAGCCTTTATTCCCGGGCACCGGCACTTCCCTGAACATCCATTTCCGGGCACCGGGACCCCCCTGCACCCTCTCCCTCAGCACCGGGACCCCGTGAATCCCGATTTCTGGGCACGGGAACCCCCTGAGCCCCCATTCCCGGAAGGAGACCCCCCTGAACACCGATTACCGGGTATGGGGACCCCCCCTGAACCTCCATTTCCGGGCACCGGGACCTCCCTGCACCCTCTCCCTCAGCACCGGGACCCACTTAAACCTTCTTTTCTGGCACCGAGACCCCCCCAATTTCCATTCCTGGGCACCGAGACCCCTCTAAACCTTCATTTCCGGGCACGGGAATTTCCCTCAACCTCCATTCCCAGGCACAGGGACCCCTCTGGAGCCCCATTCCTGAGTACTGGGACTGCCCTGAACACCCATTCCTGGGCATGGAACCCTCCTGAACCCCCATTCCTGGGCTCCGAGGACCCCCTGAACCCCCATTTCCTGGCACGGGAATCCCTCCCCACCTCCATTCCTGGGCACAGAACCCCCCTGCACCCCCTCCCCCAGCGATGGGACCCCCCTAAACCCCCTTATCTGGCAGTAGGACCCCCTGAATCCCCATTCCTGGACACAGAGACCCCCCCTGGACACTCATTCCGGGGCACTGGGAACCCCCCTGAACCCCCATTCCAGGCACAGGGATTCCAATGCACCCCCTTATCCAGCACAGGGACACCCCTGGACACCCATTCTAGGCACTGGGACCCCCCTGAACCCCCTTATCCTGTACCAGGACCCCTCTGAACCCCCTTACTCTCAACAAATACCCCCCTGTGCCCCTTTTCCTGCCAATCCCACCTCTCCCAGCCCCCTGATCCTCCCTTTTCCTTGATCCTGGGACCCCCATTCCTACTTTTCCCAGCCCCCAGACCCCACTTTCCTCAGCACTGGGGACCACTGGACCCCCCTTTCCTGGGCACAGGGACCCTGTGGATCCCCTACCCTGCCTCTCCCATTCCCAGCCCCCCCTTTCCTTGAAACTTGGACCCTTCCCAGGTCTCCCAGCTCTCCCAGTTCTGCTCCCTTGACCCTTGGACCTCCCAAACCCTCCAATCTCTGTGACCCCCCCAGTTCTCCACTCCCTGTGCTTCCTGCAGGGGGGTCCCAGGCACCAGGAACGCCCCCAACCACAATTCCTGGGCACTGGGACCCCCCTGGAACCCCTTATCCTGCACCAACACCCCCCTGCACCCCCTTTCCTGGCCATCCTGCCTCTTCCAGAGCCCAGATCCCCCATTTCCTTGACTCTGAGACCCCCTGGACCCCCATTCCTGCCTTTCCCAGACCCCAGACTGCACTTTCCTCAATAATGGGGACCCCTGGACCCCCCTTTTCTGGGCACGGGGACCCCCTGCACCTCCTTATCCTGCACCAGCACCCCCCTGCACCCCCTTTCCCGGCCATTCCGGGTCTCCTCACCCCATGACCCCTCTTTCCTCAATACTGCGGACCCCCAGGCCCCCCTTTCCTGGGCACAGGGACCCCTGGATGCCCCATCCCACCTCTCCCAGTCCCTACACCCTCCTTCCCTTGGCCCTGGGATCCCCAAACCCCCTTCCCGGCTCTCCCAGCTCTCCCAGTTCCCCCTTTCCTTGACCCCTGGACGCCCCCAGACCCCCCAAATCTCCGTGTCCCCCCAGTTCTCCACTCCATGCGTTACCTGGAGGTGGCGGTGACGGAGCCCAGCCCGGGGATCCCTCAGTTCATGGTGTTGGGATACGTGGACGGGATCCCCTTTGAGCGCTACGACAGCGAGCGGGGCCGGGTGGAGCCGCTGACGCCGTGGATGGCGGCCGGAGCCGAGCCGGAATATTGGGATAGAGAGACCCAGATCGACAAGGGGAACCAGCTCGTGGCTGCCTACAAACTGGATGTAGGGCGGGATCGGTACAACTGGAGTGGGGGTGAGTGGGGGGAGCTGGAGAATGGGGGATGTGTGGGGCTGGGATGGGATGTGTGGGGCCAGAATGTGGATCCAAGGCACTCCAAGGGGCTGGGATGGGATCCAAGGGGCTGGGATGTGGATCCAAGGTGCTCCAAGGGCTGGGATGACACTCTGTGTGTCTCCATCACACTCTGGGGCTCCATAGGGCTCGAATGGGGCTCCGTGGGGCTGGGACACAATTCCAGGGTCTCCATGGGTCCGATCCCACCCCCCAGGTCTCCACACTTGGCAGCGGGTTGCTGGCTGTGACCTCCTGTCCGACGGGAGTGTCCGTGGATTCTATCGGTACGGCTACGACGGGCGGGATTTCATCTCCTTCGAGCTGGGATCCGGGAGCTTCGTGGCGGCCGATGGAGCTGCCCAGATCACCAAGAGGAAATGGGAATCTGATGGGATCATGGCGGAGAGACAGACACATTACCTGGAGAACACCTGTCCAGAAGCGCTCCGGAGATTTGTTGGATTCGGGCGGGAGGTGCTGGAGCGCAAAGGTGAGGGAGACAGAATTCCCATGGGAATGTGGGATTTGGGAATGTGGGATTTGGGAGGGTGGAACTGAAAAATGCAGGAATTCCCATGGGAATTCCATGGATGAATCTGAGTCATCCAACTCCCATGGGAATTCCATGGATGAATCCCACTGTTGTCCCATTCCAGTGGGAATTCTGTGGATGGATCTCACTCCAATTCCATTCCCATGGGAATTCCATGGATGGATCTCACCGTTATCCCATTCCAGAGCCCCCCGATGTCCATGTGTCTGGGAAAGTGGAACACGGGATCCTGACGTTGTCCTGCCACGCGTACGGATTCTACCCCGGGATGATCGGGATCAACTGGCTGAAGGGGGATGAACTGCGGGATCAGGAGACGGAGTGGGGCGGGATCGTTCCCAACAGCGACGGCACCTTCCACAGCTGGGCCAGGATCGAGGCGCT